AACTCAGCCAACCCCACACTAGAGTTAGAGTCATTGGCGAGTTGAGGCAGCATGGCGAATCAAATGTTCGACTACTCAAAAACAGCAACGGAGAGTAGCTGGGAGCCAGGAGGCACATTGTAGCTGGTGCAAAAGATTGAAGACTTAGCAAAGGCAAGGAGTTGTAGTGTCGGCAAAGGCTTCGACGAGGACATCGAAGGAATAAGTGGGGGAGAATGTCATGGACAAACTTCTAAATAAGATGTTTGATGTAATGCTTATATATGTCCGTGTCTTTTGGTATGTTCATGCTTTGTACAGCATGTAGAGAGACGGCCGAAGGCTTAATAGTCCCATTTTAGTTGGGTGGTGGCCGCTTTAGGCTTGTAAATAAAAGTTGTGCCATGTGGACACGTGTGAGAGATTTTCGGTCTATAATGGACCATTTTACCCTTTGTTGTGCAACTATTCAGAGCTTGTAAAGTCTGTTTATAATTTGCATTGTCTATGAAGTGTTTTCAGAGATGTTTGCTTGTGGATCCCGAGTGAGGTATTTTCTCTATCCCGTTCTCTCTTTTGTGGGTCCTAAGGGACCATGGGAGGCTTCGGGGAGGCTGACCTTTGCGGACGGACACGCAAGGGTGCCGCACAACTTAGGCAAAACCAACTAAGTCTATGACAGATCGTCGGAATTTCTGCGGGAACCAACCGAGAAGTCGCGAAGCTTGCCAAAGAAGTTCGTCGGAACTCGCCAAGTGGATCGTCACAAGTCCAGGAGCTTGCCGGGAGTCCGCCGGAACATTGCCGAGAGTTCGTCGGAGGTTCACTGAAAGATCGTCGGAAGCTCGCCGGAAGAATAGACTTACAGACTTAGTTTAGCTTAGAATATGTCTTAAGAATCGTAGTTAGCACGTAATTGGGCTTGGATTGGGCCAACCCAATTATGGGCCAGCTAGGCCCATGTAATCACTGTGTTAGGCCCAATAAGAGGCCCAAACAGTGCCCCAAGAAGACTCATCGTCGTGGCACAGTCTTCGAGACTATGTCAGGCGGTGGTACCGCTAGTCTGGCCGGTTGTACCGCCCCTGGTAGGGTGCCAGGCAGTGGTATCGCCAGTCTGGGCAGTGGTACCGCCCAGCACTGCGCCCCAAGCGATGGTACCGCCTAGGACAGTGTCAATCAAACTGACACTGAGCGGTGGTACCGCCCATGCCCGGGGAACCCGGGATGAGATGTTTTTAGGTTCCAAGTTTGAATCAACTTAAAGCCTATAAATACCCCTCTCATCCCTGGTTAAAGCACACAAGTATTGAGAGTAAAAAAGTATAGAAACACTATTGTAATCTTGTGTGAGCTCCTCTCATAGTTCTAAGTGTTAGAATAGTTTGAGAGAGGAGTGAGTGGGGCGTAAGGGTTATCTCCTAAACCAGGTAAAAGGAGAATTGAGTTATAAAATGATGGTCGGCCTTCGCCTATTGAAGGAAGGCCTCTAGTGGATGCCAGTGGCCTCAACGGAAGAGGAATCGGAGGAGTGGATGTAGGTCACGATTGACCGAACCACTATAAATAGCCATCTTCTCTGGTTTGCATTTATTCTTGCTATTGACATACTGCAAACCTCTTCAATAGCTTACTGCCTTCAATACTTTTACGAACTCGCTTTCAAGTTAAGTTTTCGAAAATGATTTTACGTCGGAAACGGTTTTATCGTACGAAAGTTTTTAAATCGACATTATTTTACCGCTGCACTAATTCACCCCCCCTCTTAGTGCCGACCTTGATCCTAACAAATATATATATACATATCTAGTAGGTATAGAAGCAATCACACCAGATGATCATGGACCATAGCCTAATATGATCAGGCACAAGCTAGTGAGCCTAATCACTCAAATCAAGATCTATGTGTGCATCAGTGCATCTTTATGCCTTATGATCGTCCATCTCATCCTCGTCGGTTCCGTCGACATCTCGACGCATCTCCAAGTATCGCGATCGTCCATCTCGTGGGTCCCGCTATCGCTTTCATGCTCCCACTACGCCTCCTCGTGTGATTATAACTTAATCATAGGCACGTAGGCCCGATAATAAATAAGAAATATAATAGCGGCTCGTAGGCCCCAATAATAATAATTACAAGTATATACATCACACCGTTCATGATCATCCGTCCACACATCATACATCATATGTATAAATCAGCATCATATAGGACTACTAGATAATAAAAAATTAATTAATTTATATTTTCTGAAATCAAGGACATGTAGGGAACTTTATGAATTCTGGGTATTTTCATAATTTGGATAAAAGGACAGAATCGAAATTTTATAAATTCACAAGGGCAAAAATATCTTTTTATGCAAAAACCCTAATACCCTTCTCTTTCTCCCCTGTTGCTGCCGCTGCCACCTTGCCGGCAGTGGCCTATGTGGCGCGAGGGAGGGTGGGTGGGTAGGTGGGGTGTTGTGGGCGACATCACATGTGCAGCGGAAGAATAGAAAACAAAATCCCCTATTTCCAAAGGGATGTTCATCGTCGTGCGAAGATTAGTATGCAAAAATCCGTGAAACTTAAATATGCATATAGAATAGATTATGTTACCTAGGGAGATCATATATCTCTGAATCTTTGCAGATCTCTAGGAGAGGGTGAATGAGATCAAACGCCCTCCTCTCTAGCGATGATCCACACAGCATGGCTATAACGACGCTCCTCAAAACTCCAGTCTTGCTATGAGGTGAAGAGAGGGAGGAGAATATGAGAGACAAGCAAAGGCTTTAGCCTATGAATCACTGAATCCCTCATATTTATAGATGTCCCCTATCAACTTAACCCTAATAGATCCCCTCCTATTGGGTATTGGATCTTCATCCAACTACCCAAGCCTCTTAGATTAGTGGATCTCTATCCAATAATCTCTCATGGGCTTTTATTGGATCCCGTCCATGGTATCCAATAATTCAGGGGCTTATTGGATATCCAATAAGATAGGGGCTTCGGTGGATATCTCATATCCGAACCTCTACTCATCGCAATGCCTACCATATGTGTGTGACCTTCTAGGCCCAATATTGAGCTGGCCGTGAGTCATATCTATCAGAACTCCTTCTGACTCAATGAATTATTATTTCCATAATAATTCACTCGATTCATCGACTGTGGACGTACCAGGCCACTACGCCGCAGTCCCCAGATGATACAGGGGAATCCAATCCATTGGACATGTCTGTCCTCAGTTATCCTGTACCTATAGTCTCTCATCCATCTAATATCCCAAAGACCATATCCCGAGTATGGTGCTGTCAAACCTATATAGTTTCTTCTTGAGTCTTGCTCTAATCGGATTCTCCTAGAGAACTCTTTCTCTCTCAATTCGAATCACCATGGCTAGGGATCTGTCTAAGCAAGAATACATGGGATATTCCTCTCATGACACCGAGAGTTGATGGCCCTCTATCGACACTCAATAGCCCTCGTAAGTTTGACTACCACTCCCGATGACCGGCTATACTAGATCTAAGACATCCAAACCTATAAGTCTGGTATTAAAGAATTGAGCACTCATACAGGATATCCTTAGTTTCTCATGTCTAAGAACCAAATACACCACTAGGACTACGGAATCGTTATCTGACAATAAGGACTTCTAAACCCCAACTCCTAATAGAACTCCTACTCTAAGAAGCAACCTCAACCCTAACCCTAACCCTAGTCGACCTCTTCACCTCTTTAATAAGGGTTGACTAGGTAGGTTTTACATGAATATCCTATTCAATAAAACTCAATTAGGACTTTCTTAGCTAAAATCATAACAACGATAGATGAGAGAGGTGGAAAATGAAAAGAAAAAAGAAAAAAGCAATGAAGTAGCAATCGGAGGGGCAACGAAGGAGAGGGATGAAAGAAGAAAAAAATAAAGGGACTATACCAGATATAAATATAAGGGCTCCTTTTTTTTTTTTTACTATTTACTATTGACAATCCCTTGTCATTAACATCCCTTTAGAAATAACAAAATATTATTTTATTATTTACAATTCTAGGATTGTCATTTATATATGTTTTCTTTGTCACAATCTCTTATTTCATTCTTGCTCTCGACATCATCATCATCTACCTTATTTACTGGGAACATCACTTGTTATCAATATCATCAATACTCATGCGAGATCCCTTGACACTTGTCACATGTATAGTATGAAGCTATATAGCTCATTGAACCACTCCATTTATTGTCATCATCACTCATTAGATTCTTTTCTTCGACCCTTTGTGTTTATTGTAAATGGATACCTTAGAAATACTAATAAATTTTAAAATCAAATTATAAATAGTAAAAATGGATTACAAATAGTAATTAGATTTAAGAAATAAATGGACCAAATATAACCCAGTAAAAACCATGTCATACTTCTGGATGGACAAGGGTAGATTTTGAATAGAGGGGCAAAATTATGATTAGAGACATAAATCTAATCTTGGCGATGATATTAGCCACTTATCTCATCCAATCATAGTCCATCAATTTAGGAACAAAATAGTAAACAATTCTTCCTATTCAATGTGTCTCACCGACGAAGATACCCGAATTATATTTGGCTCATACAAACACGGTCCACAGGTAATCTGCCTGGTCCACATCACTGCCCCCAGTCACAAGGCAGGTAGACAGACGGGTTGCTTTAAAAAAAATGATAGGGGCATTGCTCAACCTATAGAGCACTAATCTTCCATTCGCCATCGAGAGAGGGAGAGAAATATAGTGGTCAGAGACTAAGGCACAGAGAAAAAAGAAATGGAAAATTCACCTGAAATGGTGGCAGGCCCCACAGTTTCATTGGAGTTTACTATAGTTGGTACCTGAGAAAAAACAAAGCCTACTAATTAGTCTTCCACTCAGACAATTTGAAGGTTCGATCAAACAATCCAAGAACTTGAGAGAGACAGATAGAGGGCGAAAGAGAGAGGGAGGGCTTACAAAGGCTGGAAGAATGTACTGTCGCAGGCAGTCGGAGCACATGGACTTGGATGCAGGATCTCCATTGGTGGCAGTGGCCATTGACAAGGATAAAGGAAGTCAGAATGCCCTGAAATGGGCAGTGGACAACCTTGTTACCAGGGGCCAGACCCTCACCCTCATCCTCATCCATGTCAAGATCACCAGCCACCCAAGTGAGCATATCTTCCTCTTCCCAGAGTACATTTGTAATGGTTGTAAATTTGTAGCAGTCCTCAATTCCAGATTTCTACCCCGTCTTCCTCATCCACTCAGCTTGTCATGTCCAGTTTTTAGCAGATCTCATCCATCTAGCTTTCAATGACCAGTTTATAGCAGTTGTATCATATTTGGTTTATACAGAATACAATTTGTCTTGATCATAGTTTTGAGGCAATCTTCAGTACCATGCCTGTCATCCACTTAACTTTTCATTGCCATCTTTAAGCAGTAGCAGCATATTTGGTTTTGAACAGAGGCCAATCCGTGGTCTTTTAGGCCATCTTCCTCCACGTCTATCATCCACTTAGCTTTTCATTGCCAGCTTTAAGCAGTCGCAGCATATGTGGCTTGAACAGGGTCCAATGTCTCGGTCTTTTAGGCCATCTTCCAGTTCCCCATTTAGCTCCTCTTTCCATGCAGGTTTTAGCAGTTTTATCATATTTGGTTTGTACAGAATCAATTCAATTTGTGTTGGTCATAATTTTGCAGGATTCTTCGATACCAGCTCCATAGGCATCTTCGTTCGTGTTTATCATCCACTAAGCATAAAATATGTAATATATTATATGAAATATAGAAATAACCTTTTAGATTAAGATTGAAATCAAATAATATTAGATCTAATTTTATGATACATACTGTTGAGAAAAAACCTATTAAAACAGAATATTTTTTTCCCTCTTTGTGTATCAAAATGAGTTTCTCATTAAAATACTAATTTGATATCCAAATAAAAATATCAACCAGCACAGCATAAACAATAGAACAAATAATCAATCACACAGTGAGATCAAATCTTTTAATGTGAAAAACCAAATATGGGAAAAACCACGGGACCGTAGTCCACCTCAAACTTCCACTATCAATAGTAATGATAATAGGTTTATAATAGATCTTCTCTAGAATAATCAGAGGATCACAATAACATCAAGATCATAGATCTTGGCTCAAGAATAGCACATCTTACGTAGGTGGATCACCTCATAAGATAATTCTATGTTTCACAATGTGGGTATAGCAGGAAAGTACCTTAGAGAGGGTAAACTATAGATCGAAACCGTTAGGATTGTAGAGTTTGCTGCAAGGATTCTCCACATAAAATTTGGATCAAAACTGACGACGTTTGGCCACCAATCGTTAAACAAAAATCTCAAAAACCTTATTTTCTCTCTTTATTTCTCTCTCATATTTTCTCTGCACGTCGCCGCCTTTGCTTGCACACACGCACGCTGCCCTCTTGCTGTGTTCTCACCCTGCACTCTCTAATTTTGTCCTTTCTCTCTTAATTATTGATTTGGGCTTATGACCCAAATTGTTCAAGCCCACATATGGGCTGGACCCAATAATTCTCCCCGTCCAGCTCATATGGTGGGCTATACCAAGCCCGCTCTTCGTCTACATGCTTCAAGCTTCTCCTTAGGCAAAGACTTTGTCAACAAATCTGAATCATTCTCATTGGTATGCACTTTTTCTAACTGTAATTCCTTCATCTCAAGCACATCACGAATCCAGTGATATCTCACATCAATATGCTTGAATCTAGAATGATATGTTGAATTCTTGGAGAGGTGAATGACACTCTGACTATCACATTAAACAGTATATCCTTCTTGTTTCAAGCCCAATTCCTGTAGAAACTTTTTCATCCATAAAGCTTCCTTGCAGGGTTTAGTAATTGCTATGTATTCTGCTTCTGTGGTTGATAGAGCAACACACTTTTGTAACTTAGATTGCCAAGAGACTGCTCCTCCTGCATATGTCATCAAGAATCCCGAAGTGGACTTCCTAGAATCAATATCACCTGCCATGTCTGCATCTATGTACCCTTCTAACACAGGTTCATCATTTCTAAAACATAAATATAACCTGGAAGTACCTCTTAGATATCTTAATATCCATTTCACTGCTACCCAATGTTCCTTTCTAGGATTTGAAAGAAATCGGCTGACAACTCCAACTGCATGAGCTATATCTGGCCTAGTACAAATCATAGCATACATCAAACTGCCTACTGCAGATGAGTAAGGCACTCTGGACATTTCTTCTTTTTCTTTCTCACTTATAGGACATTGTTTCGAACTAAGCTTGAAATCACTTGTAAGTTGAGAACAAACTGCTTTGGCTTTATTTATGTTGAATCTTTCAAGAACCTTTTCAATGTAAGTCTCCTGAGATAGCCAAATCTTCCTTTTCTTCTTTCATGGCAAAAGACTTACTCAGCTCTTTTTTAAGCTTTCCAATTTTTCCAACATCATGGCCAACAATCAGCATATCATCAACATATAGCAGTAAAAAAATAAAATCATCATCTGAAAATTTCTTCATAAATACACAATGATCAAATATGGTTCTATCATACCCTTGGCTCATCATAAAGAAATCAAACTTCTTATACCACTATCTAGGTGCCTGTTTGAGTCCATATAAGCTTTTCCTAAATTTACACACCATATTTTATTTTCCCTTGACTTTGAAACCTTCTAATTGCTCCATGTAAATTTCTTCTTCTAAGTCACCATGAAGAAATATTGTTTTTACATCAAGTTGCTCAACTTCTAAATTTAAGCGGGCAACCAAACCAAAAACAACTCAGATAGAGGACATTTTTACAACTAGGTAAAATATTTCTTCAAAGTCAATACCTTTCTTCTGACTGAATCCTTTCACAACTAGTCGTGCCTTGTATCTTTGTTGTGAGCTATTATTTTCAGTCTTCAATTTGTAAACCCACTTATTCTTGAGAGCTTTCTTCTCTTTAGGCAATTTTACCAAGTCATAGGTGTGGTTCTCAAGCAAGGATCTTATCTCTTCTTGCATGGCTTTAACCCACTCATTCTTATTCTTATGTAGAATAGCTTCTTATAAGTTTCTGGCTCTCCCCCGTCAGTAAGCATAATATACTCATATGGAGGATATCTGGTAGATGGTTGTCACTCTCTAGTGGATCTTCTTAATGGAATCTCAACTGGTGGTGGAGGTGCTTGTTCAATTGGTTCAGCATCATCAACTGTAGGTGTATCATCATTGGTATTCTCACCATAATCTTTTTGTTCATCTCCCCCATGATTATCATGAACTATAGGTGAAGGAATTGGACTCAAACTCCAAGGAATATAAATAGAGGTTTATGGCTTCTCAATATTATCACCATTATCAAACAATTGGTTTTCAAGAAACACAACATCTCTGTTTCTAATAATCTTCTTGTTCACTGGATCCCATAATCTGTACCCAAACTCTTCATGACCATATTCCAAGAAGATACATGCTTTTGCCTTATTATCAAGCTTGGACTTCTCATCTTTGGGAATATGAACAAATGCTTTACACCCAAAGACTCTCAAATGATTATAAGATATATCTTTTCCTCTCTATACTCTCTTTGGAATATCACCTTTCAGAGGAACCGATGGAGAAAGATTTATCAGGTCAACTGTAGTTCTCATAGCCTCCCCCCAAAATGACTTTGGTAACTTGGCGTGGGAAAGTATACACCTAATACTTTCTTCAATGGTTCTATTCATCCTTTCTGCCACACTATTCTGTTGAGGAGTTTTAGGAACTGTTTTCTCAAGCCTGATACTATGGAACCTATAATAATTCTCAAAAGGACCCTTGTACTCGCTACCATTATCTGATCGAATACATTTTAGTTTTCTACCAGTTTCTCTTTCAACACTAATATGAAACTCCTTGAAAACATCGAGTACTTGGTCTTTAGATTTCAAAGCAAAAGCCCACATTTTTCTAGAATGGTCATCAATAAAAGTAACAAAATAAAGAGCACCTCCAAGAGTTTTAATTTGCATAGTACAGACATCAGTATAAACTGAATCTATAACATCTTATCTTCTAGATGATGGATATGTTTGAAATGTAACTCTATGTGTTTTTACAACTAAGCAATATTCACAAGATTTTAGAGATGTACCTTGCAACTCTGGTAAGAACTGCATTCTAGCAAGAGTTTGAAGTCCCTTCTCGCTGATATGTCAAAGCCTCTTATGCCAAAGATCTATACTTTCACCTTTTTGAATTGCATTAATCTCTCTTTGGTGTAGCTTAGCTTCCATGACATAAAAAGAGTTAAGTTTCTTTCCTCTTGCCACAATCAGAGAACCTTTAGTGAGTTTCCATTTGCTTTCACCAAAATAGTATACAAAGTCCTCATCATCAAGTCTACCTGTAGATATCAAGTTAAGACGAATATCTGGAACATGCCTTACATCTTTGAGTATCAATTTGCTCCAATACTGGTCTCCAAGTAAATATCTCCAATACCCACAATCTTAGATGTACCACTGTTTCCCATTCTGACATTACCAAAATCACCAGCAGTATAAGATCTAAAGAAATCATCATGAGAAGTAACATGAAATGAAGCACCAGAGTCAATTACTCAATTACTGTCTTGAGCTACAAGACTAATACAACCTTCATCACAAACAATAGTGATATTACCTTCAACAACTACTGTATTGATCTCTTTCTCATTTTTCTTCATTTCATTATGTTCTCACTTCCAAAACCTACACTCTTTCTTTATGTGACCTGGCCTGTTATAGTGAAAACATTTGATATTTCTTCTAGACTTGGATCTTCCTCTATATCCATGTGGATTTCTACTATGACTTCTTCCACGTTTTTCTTATTTTTCAGTAACAAATGCCCCAGAAGAAGATTCACCATGTTCTTTCCTTCTGGCATCTTCATTTAGCAAACTATCTTTAACCATATCTATAGTTAAAGTCCCCTCTGGCGTGAAGTTGCAAATAATCACCACATACGTTTCCCAACTTTCTGGTAAAGAGCTAAGAAGTAATAATCCTTGCATCTCATCATCTATATTCATTTTTATAGCAACCAACTTGTTTGCAAGATTCTGAAATAGGCTTATGTGCTCAACAATGTTACCACCATCTTTATACTTCAAATTTACAAGCCTTCTGAGGAG